GCCACTGCAGCCTCAACCTGCTGGGCTCCAGCGATCCTTCCGCCTCAGCCTTCCAAGTAGCTGGAACTACAGGAGTGCGCTACCTCGCCCGGCTTATTTTTTTTGATTTATTGTAGAGATGGGGTCTCGCCTGCCCAGGCGGGTCTCGAACCCGCGGACTCAGGCAATCCACTCACCTCAGCCTCCCAAAGGCGCGGAATTACAGGCTGAGCCCCCGGCTTACATTTATTTGCTCATTTTTAAATTCTTCGAAAGTTCACTTGGATTTTATAAGAGGCAGGAGAGCTGTTTCTGTTCAATGCTTTCGACTCTTTTCAGTGAAAAAAATTTTAAAGCTAAAAATTAACATTTATCTGCCAAGAATTTTTGCAGACACTATCTCATTTAACCATCAAAACAAGCCCAAAGATAGGTTCTACTAACTCCTCTTTGTTTTACTGATGAGGAATGTGAGGCTTGAAGAGGTGTGGTCATTTGCTGAGGAATCAAACTTGCTATCTTCCCAATCACTACTTGAGGATTCCTCACTCCTGCTTTGCATTCCCAATATCTCAGATACAGAAAACTTGTCTTAGGAAAATCTCTATAGTAAGGCTGTGATGTTCTTAATGGTTAGCATGGCTGTTGGTGGGTAAAATAGAGTAAATGTGTACAAGAAGCTTGGAAAAATTCTATTTTTAGGGCTCCACCCCCATCGAATAAAATACATCATCACTACCTCTAATTTTCCTATTTTCATGGCCTGCGTGTCACCTCGCTAAAGTTTCAAGCCTCTGTTCCAGCTTCTTCCCAGTCTTCCCACACATCTAAATCAAGACCCTTGCCTTCACATGCTCATGTGCAAAGCCTGAGTTGCAGCAGCTCCATGCGTAAGCTCTAGGTGCATTGAGAGATACTCACCAAAGGAGCAAACAGATGAGCTGAGTTAAAAGAGGGACACAACAGTTTTTAAAAATGTGATTTCCAGTCACTTCAAGATCGATGCTCCATTTTGTTCAGTGTAAAGGCAGCATGATAGTTTTACAATATATCCACATACTCCTCAAAACTCCTCACTTCTGTAGGTAGAGCCTAATTCCCCTCCTTTTTTTTTTAAAAGTCGGAGTCTCACCGTCACTCAGGCAGGATTGTGGTGGCACACTCATGGCCACCGTAGCCTCAACTGCTGGACTCAGACGATCCTTCCGCCTCAGCCTTCCAAGTAACTGGAACCACAGGCGTGCCACCACACCCGGCTAACTTTTTGATTTTTTGTGGAGATGAGGTCTCGCCAAGGTGCCCAGGCTGGTTTTGAACTCCTGAGCTCAGGCAATCCTCTCGCCTCCGCCTCCCAAAGTGCTGGGATGACAGGCATGAGTCACCGTGCCCGGCTAATTACCCTCCTGACTGTACTTTGTGACTTGCTTCTAATGAATAAAACATAGTAAAATTGTCACAGTAGTGGAGGATGGCAAAAAAGAAAGAAAAAATTTAGCAGAATTGATGGTGACTGACTCCCACAACCAGGTTGCAACACATTGAGGCTCCTCCCTGCTCTTACTCTCTTGGATTGCTCACTCCGTGGGAAGCCCACGGTCTCAACCCGAGGACCCTTAAGAAGACCTGTGAAAATGTCCCTGTGTTGAGGAACTGAGACCTTCTATCAAGAGCCAGAGAGGAACTGTCAAGAGCCAGAGAGCCACACGAGTGAGCTGCCTTGGAAGCGAATCCTCCTGCTCCAGTGAGCCACCCTGTTGTATGGCCCACAGAAATTGAGAAGGGATGTTCATTGTTTTAAGCCATGGAGTTTTGAGGTGACTTACAGGGCAACAGATAATGAATGCAGACTTGGGTAATGCAAGTGGAGTGCTACCCTAACAAACACCTACAACATTTGCTTTGGAAGTGGCAGGGTGGAAGCTGTAAGAATTTTTTTTTTTTTAGAGTGGTAGGGTACATGTGAGGATTTGCTGCATAGTAAACTGTGTGCAGGCACAGTTTGGGCTTCTAATGAGCCCACTTTCCCCCTGGTAGTGGACACAGTACCTGTGGGGATCAGAGGCAGTGATCCTTCCTCCTTCCCACCCCACTTAGCAGTGTCCAGCATTTGTTGTTCTCGCCTTTGTGCTCCCATGCCCTAGGTTTAGGGCCCATTATGCATGAGAACATGTGGTCTTCCGTTTTTTGTTTCTGTGATAGTTCACTTAGAATGATGTTATGAGAAGAAGTCTGATGGTCTTCCAAGAGCCTGCCAGTAGTAGCTTCAGAAGTGAGAATGTTAGCTGGGCACAGTGGCTCACACCTGTCATCCAGCACTTTGGGAGGTGCAGGTGAGAGGATTGCCTGAGTCCAGGGGTTCAAGATCAGCCTGGGCAACTTGGCGAGACCTCATCTCTACTATAAATAAAAAAATGAACTGGGTGTGGTTCCAGCTACTTGGAAAGCTGTGGTGGAAGAATTGCCTAAGCCCAGCAGAACACAGCTGCGGTGGCTGTGAGTGTGCCACTGCACTCCAGCCCGGGAGACAGAGAGAGACTCCGATTCAAGTAAACAAAAATCCCATTTGGGCATGTTGGGTCATGCTTGTCATCTCAGCACTTTGGGAGGCCGAGGAGAGAGGATTGCCTGAGTCCAAGGGTTCAAGACCAGCCTGGGCAACTTGGCAAGACCTCATCTCTACAATAAATCAAAAACTTACCCGGGTATGGTGGTGCTCACCTGTGGTTCCAGCTTCTTGGAAGGCTGAGGCGGAAGGATTGCCCGAGCCCAGCAGGTCAAGGCTGAGGTGTCCGTGGCACTCCAGTCTGGGCAACAGAGTGAGACTCCTACTCAAAAAACAAACAAACCCAGACCCAAGTATATATAGGAAATTAGTTTATCACAGATGACACTGCCTATCTTTGGTGATGTTTACAACATAAACAATTGACAATTCATATTCAGAATATATAAAGACCTGCTATAAATCAGTAAGAATAAAACCCCTAAAGGGCTATAAAAGGAAGAAACCCAAATGAACAAAAAAAGGTGACATTATCTCAACCTCATTAGTAATCACTGAAATACAAATGAAAACAATGGTACCATTTCATAGACAAAAAATTGTCTAAAGTTTTAAGGTCTAACTAACATCAGTGGACATGGATGTCGTACAATCTGAACTGCTCCGAGTTGCTGGTGGGATGACAGTGTGATTCAGCACTGCCTGGCAAAGCTGAGGAATCACAGACCCTACAACCATTTCTGTTTCAGTGCAATTCCATTTCTAGGTTTCCACCCAAAATTGGGTTAAAGAAAAAACTTCAAGACCGTGTGCCCTATGACACACATTCAAGATGTTTAATGCAGCAAAATTTTTATTTTATTTTTGAGTCGGAGTCTCACTCTGTTGCTCAGGCTGGAGTGCAGGGGCTTGCTCACGGCCACTGCAGCCTCGACCCACTGGGCTCAGGCGATCCTTCCACCTCAGTCTTCCAAGTACCTGGAACTACAGGCATGTGCCACCATATCCCGCTAATTTTTTTTTTAATGATTTATTGTAGACAAGAGGTCTCGCCATGTTGCTCAAGGCTGGTCTCGAACCCCTGAGCTCAGACAATCCTCTCGCCTCCATTTCCCAAATGCTGGGATTACAAGCGTGAGCCACCACGCCTGGCTGCAGAATTTTTAAATAGTGAAAAAGTGGAAAACATCCTAACTGCTCTTTGGTAGGGAAACGATACGTGAATTCTGGATGTATAAATCAACAATGGAAATTATACAACAGCCAAAAGAAAAGAATCTTCATTTACCAAGGATGTAATGCTATACAGTCAGTAAAAGAATATATACAATAATTTTGTTAATGGATAGATTTAAAAGACATT